CACGGAATATCTTTCCATTTCTTTGCGTCTTCTTCAATTTCTTTCAGAAATGTTTTATAGTTTTCGGTGTACAGATCTTTCACCTTTTTGGTTAAGTTTATTCCTAGGTATTTTATTCTTTTTGTTGCAATTCAGAGTTTACCTTTCTAAAGAAATTTCTTCTTCCTTAAATAATCTTTCTTACCATATTTTCTCACTGAAGTATTTAAACAGTTATAACAAAACTCTCTGAGGAATGATGGGATTTCTTGTAGGGACTCCTTCGAGGTTACCAAGAGAAAGCATCTGAATAACTCTTTCTTTTTTTTATTTTAAATCTCCAATCTATTATCCCAATGTCTCTGTAACAGACAGAAATTAATTTCATATGCTATTGAGGATATATTAATCTCAAAGTAATGTAACCCAGGCTGCACAGATGTGTTTACTTTTTTTTTTTGTGAGGAAGACCAGCCCTGAGCTAACATCCGATGCCAATCCTCCTCATTTTTTCTGAGGAAGACTGGCCCTGGGCTAACATCCATGCCCATCTTCCTCTATTTTATATGGGACGCCGCCACAGCATGGCTTAACAAGCGGTACGTCGGTACATGCCTGGGATCCGAACCAGCAAACCCCAGGCTGCCACAGCGGAGTGCGCACACTTAACCGTTTGCACCACTGGGCCGGCCCCTGTGATGTGTTTACTTTTGGAAATAAGAATTATTAATGAACTATATGGAACTTTAAAAATTTAATGGAAAAGGACCTTTTTTTTTTCCTGGTGAGGAAGATTGGCCCTGAGCTAACGTCTGTTGCCAATCTTCCTCTTTTTGCTTGAGGAAGATTGTTGCTGAGCTAGCATCTGTGCCAGTTTTCCTCTATTTTGTACATGGGATGCTGCCACAGCATGGCTTGATGAGCGGTGTGTAGGAATATTAAAATAGGTCTGTGCCCGGGAACTGAACTGTGAACCCCAGGCTGCTGAATTGGAGCATGTGAACTTAACTACTGTGCCACTAGGCCAGCCCCAAAAAGGAACTATTTTAATGACACTAAAAAGCTGGTTTGGTTTTTTTTAAATTAAAAAAACATGATTTTTTTCAGCTTTGCTTCTCAAAACTTTTAGATAAATTTGAAAATTTACTTTGGAAGGGTAGGGTTAACAAGTTAGACTACAATTCCTTTTTTTGTTTCTTTTTTTCATAATGATCTCTGGTATTGTCAGAGTTGGTAACTGCACTGTCATATAGATTTTAGGCCTAGTTTATTAATCGAGACATTCTTTAATTATTTCATTTCTATGTTATGTGGGAAAAGTATAATTCAGAATGAAGTATTATGATATATTAAGATAAAATATGTTTTTATAAATATAAAATGTATTTTGTGAATTAATACATGATTTTCTAGAATGTTTTCACAGAAGTACCTAACATACTTTAAAATTCTTCTGAGTACATGATGTTACATTTATTAATATGTAAGTAAGGCTGATGGTTTTTTACTCAGGGAATCTACATTGATAGTAATGCAGTGCAGCATAATGTTTAAAAGCAAGAGCTCTGGGGCCGTGTGACCTCAGTTTGCATTATGGCTTGTTGTGGGAAAGTTTTTAACCTCACTAAGCCTCAATTTGCTCCTTTTCAAAGTAGGACTATAATAGGAATGAGGTTATATCACGTCTGGCTAGTGTTTGGCATGTCTTCTTAGCAACATCTCTATACTGCTCCCCGCTCCCTGTAGGCCTGATACATTGTGTTATTTTCATACAAGAACAGCATAGCACCTAGAGTTGGGGATCTGAATCAGACCGAATGGAGCTATTTTCATCCATTTCCTATTAGATTTTGCATTTGCATTTTTGTTTTATATAATATTTATTTTATGTAGTGCCTTTTAGACTGTCTTGACAGTACAACCAATATTTCTGTTTTATAGAGATGGCATTTTAACTATTTAAAAATTAAAAAATATTTTTTAAAGCAGCAAAAGATTATTTGACTAAAACAACAAAAGAAAATTTATGATGTTACAGAGTTGTCATGTTACACTTTCACAGTATAAAATGTTTCAGCATTTATAACTTTATTTGTTATCACATTCTAGACAATGTGCCCTGTGTGTTTGGATCGTCTGAAGAATATGATATTCCTCTGTGGCCATGGAACATGCCAGCTTTGCGGAGACCGAATGAGTGAATGTCCTATTTGTCGCAAGGCTATTGAACGAAGGATTCTTTTGTATTAACTAAGAAACTCAGTGTGTTTTGTTAGCTAACGTATTTGCTCGTGAGATCTTAGTGAGCTTTTAAGCTAGTCGGAGGTTCTAATGAATTAATTTTTAATATCATAGTTTCTTTACTAGAGTGTAATTAGACTATAAATGTACCAGAATTGAAAAACTCTACAAAACAGTGTTTGAAGCTGTGGGTTTTTTTTTTTTTTCTTCTTGTTTAATGCGAGACATCAAATCTCTGTAATTCATAGGTAGTTTACTTTTGGCTTCTAAGAGGGAAAAATCCTTTAAGGATCTCCTGTTATTTTTGTTTTTATTGCATTTTCTCTTATAGTTGATAAATTTGTTAGACCTCAAAAGATACACTTCCTTATGATCAGCTATCCTTCAGTTTATCATGATTTTACAGTGAGTTGACACAGGTACTCAGAAAAGTCATGCTTCAAATGAAAGGGGCAGCTCAAACCATTATGTCACATATATTAAATAATAAAATTATAGTACAAGTTCTACATCATTAAGGAATATTAAAAAGAGGATTCCCTTTTTAAGATAACATCAAGTTATTTAAATGATTGTTTCTGAATTCTTAGGGTAAATGGAAGCATAGAATGACTTTCCATTTACCTTATTTTCTAGATTTAAAAGGAAAATTGTTTAACTTGAATCAAATTGCCAGTTTCAAAATAACTGGTAGACATGAAAAGGAAAAATAAGCAATCAGTGGGGAACTGAAGAGGGGGAAAGTATCCAAGAAAAGAGTACCTATTAACTGACCATTAACAGTTGCCTTTCTAATATTAATTTATACACTGTTTTGTTCGGCTGGCCTTTAAGAAAATGTCTGTGAAAGTGTACCTCAGTTTTCCCTGTGGTTACTTATCCAGGCTTGATCTGACCAGTAAAATGATATTGCCCTATTTGGGCCTCTGAGGTTCCATTTAGCTTTTCTGGTGTACTGAAGAGTACCCCCGTGATCTGAGAAGGATAACGCATTGTCCAAAGGCAGCCGTCCTTTCTTCTCCATATCTGTTAATTCTGACAGTGTTACTGATTCTACCTTCATCATAGGCCTTGCTTCCATTCTCTCTCAAATGGTAAGGCTTACTGTAAAGAAAAGAATCTCTCTTTATACCTACGGATGACGATATTATTTAAAGTGCCAGCAATATCTAAAACATAGTAAATAACCTAATAATAAATGCTTACTTTAGAAAGAGTGACCAGGACATATACAGAAATATGTCTGGTTACCTGTAGATTTTTTTTTTTTTAACTCACTCTTTGACTCTAGAGCATCTAATCATTTTCTCTCCTTTGAATGAATAATCTTACAATGTCTAGGATGAATATACACATAAATAAGTGTTTTGGGGTTCATTGCTGCTAGATTATAAAAATATCAGCTGTTTACAATAGTGTCTACTATACTGTGTATAAGCTTACTCCTAAGGATAGTTATCTTTTTTGTAGTTTTTTCCCCCTTTGAATCTGGTTCTTATTTCAGTTTTTCTGCTACAACAACTAAATTTGAAAGTACAAAGTCTCTAGCTCTCATAACCTCATATTTCTGGCTATTTAGTGGCTGCTGCCTTTGCAAGTCCTGGTGAAAACAGTCGTGAGCTTTGCTGGCTGATTTGTAGTCTCTAATTCCATGTCTGTGTTCAGCTGAGTAACGTCATTTAGAACAGTACAATTTTTACAACTTTTAAATTTGAAAATTTATATTGACTCTACCAGTTATCTGATAAAGGGCCACTGAGGCCATTTTTTAAGCCATATTTTGAAGTTGTAAAAAGATGGAATATCTGACGAATGATGTTCACAGAAAGAGACAAACAGGCTATTTTCTTTCAGATTTGATAACAGCGTAAGTCAGGATTTTCCTTTTCTTCCATGCCATAGGCCACCCATCTCTTTTCCACTAGATCACCTGGTAAGGAGGGAGCACCTGGCTGACTCCTGCATAGTCTGGCCAACCAGAGAATTGTATGGTCTAGAGCTCTACTTTACTTAAATCCTTTTTGTCTTCTGAGCTGTAGTGCTAAAACTTATATCCCTAAAAGGCAATTTTACCTTCCAGACTAGTCTGTTTCCTCCATATTAAAAATATAATAATTTATGAACTATTACAAAAGTCATAAAGCCACTATAATTATAGTGCTATGTACTTGTGGATTTTCTGTATTTGTACCACTTTGAAATTTGTTTAATGAATAAAAAATGTTTCTCTATTGATGTTTTCAAGCACCTGAAAAATTATTTTAAATTTATTTTGGGTTTGTGAGAGAGAATAAGACTAAGAACTTAATTGTTTCAGTGACTCTCCTCTAACTCTGTGAAACTGCTACCTCTTATGATGTGTCTCTCAGCAGTATTTTCCCAATTAGGTATATTTCCTTCTCATTAGCATCTCTTTATCTTGTGCCTCAAGAGAGCTTTTGCTTTTCATAGAATCATTTAAAAAGACAAAACTGACATGCATTCATTCAAAAACGTATTTATTGCGCTTCAGGAGCTAGATACACAATTGAAAAAAATGGTCAGCATCTTAGCACATACAGAATTTATCATGCAGACATTGTATATTTGAAGTAATTTGTAGTCAAAACGAAGGAATCCAAAGGTACTGATACATTTCTTCCTAATATTTCAGAAGAGTTGTCATTAAGTAGTATTTGAATTCCCTCTCTGTACCTCTCACTCCTACCACATTTTCTCCTTCCTTTTTCTAAGATTGCCAGCTTTGTTACCCAAAACATACACACAACTTACCAGATGGTGCTATTGTAATCGTTTTTCTTCACATAATTTAACAGTCTTACTGCTTATACTATATACATATTTAATTTTGTTGGGAGCAAGAAGGTTTTTCAAGAGAAGATCATTTTGTATTAGTATAGGAATATTATATTAGACAAGTGTTCAGTTTAGCTGAGTGAATTATGCTTGGTTATTTGTAATTTTAAACGTTGCAAATTGACCAGCTAGCTACTGAGGCATAAAATTAATTGATAATGTTGAAAATAACTTTCTTAAATTTTTATCTTTGATGGCTTTGGCTTCTAAGAGCATTTTTGCATATGAAATGCATTTTGCTTAATATTTGTCCAGTTGAAATTTCAAAGCTTGCTGGGTCATTTTTATGTGGTAGAAATATACTGTCTAATTATGTGTTGCCCAATTGCTGTTCTTTGTTTATTATGAATTTTGGACCCTTTTGGACTAGGAATTAGTTACACTTATGAACCAAGAGAACTAGTTATGGGATAGGATAGGAAAGATAGTGAGGGGTTGCAGCAAGTAAGAAAGAAAAGTCGGTGTTTGAGTTTAGAGGGTAAAAGGGGATCATGTAGATTTCAGCAAAGCGTTAAGTGGAGAGTATATTTAATTGAACCATAGAAAGGGTCTTTCAGCCAGTTTTTAGTGTATTTAAATTGACAATTGCTTTGTGAATTATAGATTTTAATACAGCTTGCTTTAAAAAAAAAATCCAAAAGGAAAAGCACTTATCCTCTCAGAGTATCTAAAATATTTTATGGTAATAATTTGTGTAAAAATTGAATTTTGGAATAGAGTTTTTGTGGGGGTTTTTTATTGTGGTAATAACAGAACATGAAATTTACCATCTTCACCACCATTTTTAAGTGTACAGTTCAGTAATGTTAAAGTATATTCACATTGTTGTGAAACAGAGCTCCAGAACTTTCTTATCTTGCAAAATTGAAAGTCTATACCCGTTAAACAACAGCTCCCCTTTCCTGCCTCCCCCCAGTGGAATAGAATTTGATTAAATATAAATCAAGAACCATGTGACTTAATCGTAATAGTTTGTGTTTTCAAGATCTAAAGTCATGGTAAACATCAAGTTCCTAAAATTTGAGGGGATGACAGAATTTCTTCCCTCCCTCCCAATTATCATCGATCATAATTGCATAGGTTTTAAATGTCTGTTAATTGGGTTTGTTATTTCATTTTGAGCCAGAGGAGAGAAACACATTTTAAATATTAGAATAGGTTAGCTTTGAATTTGTACTAAATTGGGAAGGTAATAGATTTTCACAAATTATGTGTACCTCGTTGTTGAAAATATCAGTTATCTTAAAGTCTACTTGTAACTGTTTCAAAATACTTTTTTCTCTCAAAAAGCCAACTAATTTTATTTGCTTGAATATCATGGTAGGAATGCTTACTGACATTACTTGATAATTATATATAGTCTTGAAACTTTAACATATATATGTAAAAAACTATAACAACATTAATAATTATGGTTGTACTCAAACATTAAATTTAAAACCTTAAATTTGAGGAAAAACTGTTAAATGCTGTCTCATGTGTACATTGCTTTGCTACAGTGAGGGGGCAAATCCTTTAGATTGAGCCTTAGTTTACTGATAAATGGTTAGTAGTGGGAGAAACTAGAGTATAAAAATATGAACTAGATAGTGGAGCTGATGAATTAAAATTGTAAGTTGCCACACTAGCATTTTCTATCTTCTTTTCTGTCAGAGTATTACTTTTCCAGCATTTATTCATATTTGTGACTAAGGAGGAGACAGAAACCGGAGGTTAAAATTGAGATTTCTATTTTGCTGAAGATTTAAGCAGCAGGTACAGAAAGGTGACTTGTCACATCAATTTGGTGCCTAAATCCATAACTACAAGTTACAATTGACATGTACAAAATGTGTAAGAAAGATAATATTGCTGAATATTTTACTTTTCCTGTTTATTCATATTTGATTTGTTTTATAAACGTGACTTCTTTCCTCCAAAAAGCAAAATGGTCTTGTGATTTTCTGTAAAATAAAAAAATGTGCCATCTTGTCTGACATCTGTAATTTCAGAAAGCTATTGAAAATTCTGACTCAGGGCTTTTTAACAGTTTAAGCAATTGTTAATTATATTTTGGAAGGTCCATCTACATAATTCTTCAGTGCCTTGAAAGAATTATTAACTTGGCAACGCTACACTAAGACTTTGTAGAAGGTGGTCTTTAGTGTGTGTGTGTGGTCACACACACGTTTCCAAGTTGTATTGCTTAGCTTGTGTAATAGCAGTACTGCATGTGTGCTGGGTTTGGGTAATTCTTTAAAGGAAATTCTCTAGCTTTGCACTTGATATTTGTTTTTTGTTTTTTTTTTAACTGATTATTTATGGCCATGACACTGTTACCAGAAAAGTAATTCTATGTTAAGTCTTCATGCAAAGTCATGTATCAGTAGCATGTGGGAGAAGGAGATAGGGTTCATCCAGTTTGCTATTTTGGTATGAAAATTATCAGTAAACACTATAGTAAACAGATTATCTTCCCCTCAAATAAAAAAAGACCTTTTGTTCAGGTGATTTGGTTAAAAAAATTTTTTTTAAGGAAATCACAAATTGCATGTCATTCTTAATGCTAGTCTTACTTAGACTAAATCCACAACATTGTTTTTCTGTTCAGTTCAGTGTGCTTGTGTCGTACTAAATATAGTATAGTCAGTGGTAGAAAGCAGTTCGACTCAGCAGTGTTTTGCTTTGTATTATTCCAGTGTTTTTAGCTTTCACTTGATTAAATTTAAAGTCTTCCTTGTGAATATAGTTTTTGTATGGCAAAATGATTCTTGCTTATTAGCTTTTGTTAAAAAAATACTTAGCAAGAGCTAAACTTCTAAAAATAAATGCAAACATTTACCATTAATAAAACCTGTGATATAATATCATCATATAATGCTTTTCTCTCATCTTTTGAAACTGTACTTCATAGACTTATACATGAATTTTGATTCTTAAGGCATTTGAAAACAAACCTCAGTATATCAAATCTTTTATTATTGGGAAGGAAATTAGTATGTCTTTGAGAAACAAGGACATACATCTCCAACTCAATATAAGACATAGGTGCCCACGTCTGGAAGGCTCTCATTGCAGTTGTTTCCAGTGAAGGTACCTCTATCTAAAGGGCCAAAGAAGCTTTTGGTATTTTTACACCTCGCACTCTTTCAGGATTAAGATATATTGTGAAAGGAGTCTGAATAGGATAAATTTGATAGAAAATAAATCAACTAGTCAGGAAGACTCAACTTATTCTATAAAGTTTATTCTTCATCACAACTCAGATGTAGACTTCATTTTCAAGAGGTATACATTTTAAAGCAATGATTTATTTGGCTTTATTAGTGTTTTGTGACTAAATCAATAATTGAATACTTTGGGGGTTATTTTATTTTCCAAGTTAATAGAAGCACTTATTTGTGAAGTTACTGAGAGATTGTGTAGTTTTAGTTCAAAAGATTAATTATGTGTATCTCGGATGGTTAAGAGGAAAATGATCTGAAACAAAATCTTTTTTAATTGTTTGAAAAAAGCATATGTATTCCAACTTCCAAAATTGTGAATTTATTTTTGGATAACCTCTAATTAACTGTATTTCTGGGGTTTATTTCTGTTGCTGTATAATTACCTATTTCATGGCAATATTTTTTATTAAAGTGACTCTGTGTAGGTTTTTAAAATAAAGCCATTTTAGAAAATCTGATTTATATTTTTTTATCGCTGACAGTTATTCATCCTTTGCAGAAGTTAAAATTGTTTGTTGTTAGGCTTATAGTGTAGCATTTCCGAAACTTACTGACAATGAAAACTTCCATGGTTCATTGTAGAGCAGTGACAGGAGTTTATAGTTAGTGCATGGATTAAAGTAGAACACCAAAAATGTTCTCTCAGATAAATTGCTGAAGAATGAACATTTGACTAATAGTTTTTCCCTTTATAACAAAACCAGTTGATAAACTCATTATTTTGTTAAGGAAAAAAAAGACAGATAAACTTAATATGAAAGGATAAGACAAGACCCAGAACAGAGACCGTCCATCACTGGGTTGATGGCGTATCCATGAGACCATTAGGCAGTACTGCCTTGGCACTAATGCCCTAATCAGAAGTAATGTGATCATGTGCTGGGTGCCCCTTCATACCAGGTCCTTGCATTCTCTGATTTGGCAGCTTTCTGAAAGGCAGATTTTCAAGTCAATATAAATATTATTTCTCATATTATAAGAGTTTTACCCTCCCTTCCTTTCTCTCTCCTTTATTTCCACAGAACACTAATTAATATCTTGAGTGGGAAATTGGCATACAGTTTGGAAAAAGCTTTTATAGGTGAAGTTAACCCTGATTTAATAGGAAAATAGAGAAACAATAAAATCAGAGCCTTTACCTACTGACCATGGCCAAACCATTCTGAAGAAAGTG